AGGTTGGCTTGAAATTGCAAACCTCCTGCCTCAGCGTCCCCAGCCCCTGGAATTTCATTCTAGCATCACCATGGCCAGCTATACCCAGCATTTTTCTACTTCATAGTCATAATGAAATACAGAGTGTACATGCATCAAAATAAACATAATGTGTGTGAGGGGGGCATATCTTATAAGAAATGAATGAAATAAAATTAAAACACATTCTGCCTACAGTCCTATATTCAATATGAAGAAGCTAAGTGGTACCACCTTCCCTCAACATTTGCATAAGTTGTAAATGTAGTACTTGAATATAAAGAATTTGTTTTTAAACCTGTGTGTGTGTGTGTGTGTGTGTGTGTGTGTGTGTGTGTGTGAATGCTGACACATTCCTTCATCCTATTCCTGAATACCTTTTCAAAGTCCCTCTTCCACATCTAAAACACAACAGACCTAATCTGCAGAGGGCCGAGGTAAACATTTTACTGATTTCCCCAAGTACAGCCAGTTCAAAGAATTATTTTTTAATTCATGAAAGAGTTCCTCTTTATAATTTCCACTGAATTGCCACTGAAATAAACTATGGTTTCAATTATTATTTCAGGAAGATTACTGACAATTCCATTTCCTTAAAGAATTGAACATTTGAACTCCCAAAATTAATCTTCCCCAAAAAACCACTATGATGCTTGTTGAGAGAGAGAGAGAGAGAGAGAGAGAGAGAGACTGTTCTAATAAACTGTTGTCCAAATATCTGCTACTGTTGATCTTGTGGAGAAACCCCAAAACGTCCTGTTACTGCCTCTAAATTGTAAGATTTCCTGGATAAATCTGAATAAAAAGCAGTTGAATTTATGAAATGCCAAAAATATATCACCAAACTGAAACTACAAAGACAAATCTTATATTTTAAGCAAAGATGTTCTCTTCAACCTGATAATATGAAGAGGTGTTTTGACAAACGCATAGGCCTATGATTTTCAAAAATTGACAAATAGAATATACGACTGGGGTCCTGGATCAATATTAGGCTGTCATAGAATGCCCAAGATCCTGCATTGAACTCCTAGCACTGAGAATGGAATGCAAAAATGTAAACATATAAATTATAAAAGCCAAACTGATCTCAGTGAATGGTAATATAAAATTGGAGATAAGGGGAATAGTCAGTTTCCCTCCCTGAATTTCAACAAGCACATTTCTGGAAATAGCTAAAACTCTTTAAGATGAGAAGCTGCGAGTGAGATGGGAACCAATCAGCTTAAAGACATTCTACGCACTACCGTGTGGCAGCCAATCCTCTT